AATCAAAAGCAGGAAATGGATCCCAAATTAATTCCCTAAAAATAATTAAAAATAAAAAGTTTTGAGCTTTTCTGATCTTCAAATTCCCAATATTCCAGTTTTATTTCCTGGCCTGCTGCTGCTCTTGGATGGGCAGGGGTGGGTGAAGCTTTTTTTGGGATTTCCCCCAGGGTTTTTTTGGGGATTTTGGGAAAGAATTGAGGATTGAAGGAGATTCCAACTTGCAAAAAATAAGATTTTTTTTTTTTTTCAACTGGGAATTAAAGTTTTTTTCCCCACATTTTTCCAGTGTCCGTCCGTTCACCCCAAGCTGGGATTTATCCACCTGAGCCAGGGGATGTTTAGAACCTGGAAAAACCCTGGAAAAAAAAAGGAATCTGCACAGGGAAAAAGAAATCTCTTTGAGATATTTTATATACATCTATATTTATCAGGAAAATATTTCCCTTTTTTTTTCCCGCCGCTTTCCTCATAAAACAAACGAAGGAAATTTGGGAATACCCTGCGGGAACTCAGCAGAAAAACCCCCGGGTGTTTTCTGGGAGAGTTGCTGGGATTGCTTTGTTTAAAACCGGGAATATTTGGAATATCCGAAGAGGAATAAATTCCAGGGCGACACAAAAATCCACCTGAAACGAGAAAACAGGCTGGAACGATAATTAGAATTATAAATATATAAATATACAAACGCACGGGGTGTGGATTATATTGATATTCATGGCGGTGGGGTGTGGATATTTATTTTTATATCCAATATATTTAATTATCCGGCACCGGGAAGAAGCTCCCGGGGTTTAATCCCAGCCGGAATCCCGGATTCCTGACTCTGACCTACATAGGACGCGCTGACGGCCACGGAGCTTCCCTTTGGGTGGAAATCGAGGAGAAATGGGATTTATTTTTTAACCCTGGATCCTCTGTGGGCAGACCGTGTTGGAGCAGGGAAATTTCGGGATGAATTCCCGGGTTTCTCACCGGGTGGAATTTCCAGCTCGGCCTGAGATAAAAAAACGAGGAAATGCCACCGAAATTCCCGGTGCCAGGGAGGGAAAATCCAGCAGGGAGAGGGAAAAGGGAACGGAGGAGAGGGAAGAGGAGGATGTGCAGAGCAGGGGAGAAAATAAACCCGAGAGGGAGGGGGAAAAATAGGGGAAAAATCCTAAAAACCGTGGAGGAAAAGGGGGGAAAACTCGATTATTTGGCATCCCAAAGGATTCCCTGAGCATCCCTGTATCCCTGTTTTCCATCCAGGTGGGCAGCAGAAGGAAGGGCAGGGCCTTAAATCTCCCAAAAATCTTTTCCAGGCAAGATTTATCTCTCCTCTTCCCACTTTTTTTTTTTCCCCTATTTTTTTTCCCCGCCTTCCCACGTGGATTCCCCACGGCAAAGGAAAACAAGCGAGGATGATTTTTTTTCTCTCTATTTTTCCTTTTGTTTCGCCTCGGCCGTGTCTCTAATCCAGCCCAGCTTCCTCCTTTTCCATTCACAATTTTCTTCCATAGCTGGGAAACAAAAAAAAAAAAATTAAAAAAAAAAAAGGAAAAAAAAATTATATATTTTATTTGATTTTTTTATTAATTAATAAATAAATCGGTGGTGGGAAAGGAAGGAAGGAGGGAAGGAGACACCTGAGCTGGTCCCAGCGTTATTCCGAAGGTTTCATTCCTCTGAATAATTTCTATGGATTAAAAAAATAATAATAATAAAAAATAATAATATTAATATAATAATAATAATAATGATAATGATAATAATAATAATAATAATGAAAAAAATTAAAAATAAAATAAAGAGAGCGCTCAGAATTGAGGGAGAGACGGGAAAAAGGGGTGGGAAAAGCAGAGGGGGAGGATGGCGAGGGCTTAAAAACGCCAGCGGGAATTAGCAGGAGTCTGAGCCCTTGTTTGCGCTGCCCGTCAGCATCTGCCTCTGGCACCGTCCCCATCTGGAGCCCGTCCGTCCTTCCGTCCGTCTGTCCGGCCCCGGCGGGACCGACACCTCCCCGAGGAGCCGATTCCCAAACGGCGGCAGCAGGGAGGCGGGAATGGCGGAAAACAGGGAAAATCCGGCCGCGGGGTTGGGAAAATCCCAACATGTTGGAGTAAAACCCCCCCATTAGGCCAAAATCCCAACATTTTGGAGTAAAACCGCCCCCCCATTAGGCCAAAATCCCAACATTTTGGAGTAAAACTCCCATGTTAGGCCGAAATCCCAACATTTTGGAGTAAACCCCCCCTTTTAGGCCAAAATCCCGATGTTTTGGAGTAAAACCCCCCCCATTAGGCCGAAATCCCAATATTTTGGAGTAAAATCCCCCCATTAGGCCAAAATCCCGATGTTTTGGAGGAAAATCCCAATGTTTTGGAGTAAACCCCCCCCGTTAGGCCGAAATCCCAACATTTTGGAGTAAAACTCCTCTGTTAGGCCAAAATCCCAACATTTTAGAGTAAAACCCTCCCGTTAGGCCAAAATCCCGATGTTTTGGAGGAAAATCCCCCTGTTTTGGAGTAAACCCCCCCCTGTTAGGCCAAAATCCCAACATTTTGGAGTGAAACTCCCCCTGTTAGGCCAAAATCCTGATATTTTGGAGTAAAACCCCCCCAGAAGGCCAAAATCCCAACATTTTGGAGTAAACCCCCCCGTTAAGCCAAAATCCCGATATTTTGGAGGAAAATCCCGATATTTTGGAGGAAAATCCCAATATTTTGGACTAAAACCCCCACGTTAGGCCGAAATCCCGACGTTTTGGAGGAAAATCCCGATATTTTGGACTAAAACCCCTGCACTAGGCCGAAATCCTGACATTTTGGAGGAAAATCCCGATATTTTGGACTAAAACCCCCGCGTTAGGCCGAAATCCCGACGTTTTGGAGGAAAACCCCGATATTTTGGACTAAAACCCCCGCACTAGGCCGAAATCCCGACATTTCCCCGCTGGGGGAACGCCGGGAGCGTTTCTTTGTGGGGTTTCTTTGTTCGGGTTCCCCCTCCCCGCCTGCCCCACGGCCCCGAGAGGAGCAAATCAGCGGCGTTTGCATATTCAGAGCAGGTGGGGGCCCAGATGCCCGGGATGAGGAGGATGAAATTAGCCACCATCATCATAATCAAGAGGTGCTGGGGGCAGGGCGAGCCTGGCACACGAGGCGGATAATTACGGAGCTCAGCGTGTGCGCGGCGATTTTCCCCACAATTATTCCAAGCTCGGCGAGCTGGAGACGAGGTCGATCCTGGGATCGCTCCCGGGAGATTCCCCAGGGGTTTTTGGGAGCTCAGGGAAGGTCCCAATCTCGTCCCAGTGGTGTTTTGAGGGGTTTTTTGGGGTTTTTTGTGATTTTCCCCACAATTATTCCGAGCTCGGCGAGCTGGAGACGAGGTCGATCCTGGGATCGCTCCCGGGAGATTCCCCAGGGATTTTTGAGAGCTCAGGGAAGGTCCCAAGCTCGTCCCAGTGGTGTTTTGAGGGGTTTTTTTTGGGTTTTTGTGATTTTCCCCATAATTATGCTGAGCTTGGCGAGCTGGAGACGAGGTCGATCCTGGGATCGCTCCCGGGAGATTCTCCAGGGATTTTTGGGAGCTCAGGGAAGGTCCCAATCTCGTCCCAGTGGTGTTTTGAGGGGGTTTTTGGGGTTTTTGTGATTTTCCCCATAATTATGCCAAGCTTAGTGAGCTGGAGACGAGGTCGATCCCGGGATCGCTCCCGGGAGATTCCCCAGGGATTTTTGGGAGCTCAGGGAAGGTCCCAATCTCGTCCCAGTGGTGTTTTGAGGGGTTTTTTGGGTTTTTTTGTGATTTTCCCCACAATTATTCCGAGCTTGGCGAGCTGGAGACAAGGTCAATCCTGGGATCGCTCCTGGGAGATTCCCCAGGGGTTTTTGGGAGTTCGGGGAAGGTCCCAAGCTCGTCCTGGTGGTGTTTTGAGGGGTTTTTGGGGTTTTTTTAACTCTTTGTTTTGTGGTTAAATCTGTGTTTCCCGCTTGGATTTACCCAGGGTGTTTCCAGAACATTCCACGGCCCCGTGGCCCCGCCCTGCACGGAGAGCAAACGCTGGAAAAGGAGCTCTGGTTTTCCAGCTTTTCCTGAAAAATCCCGGGGTTTTGGCATCGCATCCTCACCCCCGGCTCTTCCCATGGTGCGTTGGGAAAGGAGGGAGGTGACGCGGGTGACACAGGTGACAGAGGTGACATAGGTGACAGGGGTGACATGGATGACAGAGGTGACACAGGTGACACAGGTGACACACAGGTGACAGGGGTGACACACAGGTCACACAGGTGACACAGGTGACATGGATGACAGTGGTGACAGAGGTGACATGGATGCCACAGGTGACACGGGTGACACACAGGTTGATGGGGAAAATCACAAAAACCC